TGCTGTATAAATTCTTTATGTACAATCATGCACCATACGAGGATGTCTCAGTTAACAATGGACCATGTATACCCCAAGGCTGGTCTCATGAGATTATAATGGAGCTGAAAAATTCCTGTTGCCTGTAGACACCCACCCATTGTAACGTCAGAGCACAACATGTGACTCACGTGTTTGTGGGGATGCTGGTGGAAGTTTGGAGAACACTCAGGATCTAAATGTAGACCTGCCATTTGATCCTGCAATTCCTCTACCAGGTATATATCCAAAAGACCAAAAATCACTTGGCAACAAAGATATTTTCACCAGATTGTTCATTGAAGCATTCATAATTGCCAAGTCTTGGAAGAAGCCCAAGTGCCCACTGACCCATGAATGGGTTAATAAATTATGATGTATGCATACCATGGAATACTATGCAGCATTAAAAAAGATGGAGACTTTACCTCTTTTATATTTACATGGATGGAGCTGGAAAATCTTCTTAGTAAAGTATCTCAGGAATGGAAAAAAAATATCCAGTATACTCAGTACTATTATAAAATTGGTTTATAATCACTCACACTTTCATATGAGAGATGAATCACAACTATAGCCCAGGATGAAGGAGGGAAGGGGAGGGGAATGGGAAGGGAGGGAAGTAGTTTGATAGAGGGAGGGTTAATGGTGGGACCACATCTATGGAGCTTATTGCAAGGGTATAAGTCAAATCTATCAAGTATTAAACACAAATGTCTTAACACCATGATTAAGTAAATGAGGTGAAAGCAATGTTAATTAGTAGGATGTAAGCACTCTAATTTGTACAAATAATCAACACATTGAATCCCACAAAGGCATAAATGTATTCATGAGCTATGTATATATGACTTAATAAAAAAATGTATGGTGCCATCAGTTACATAAAGTGTAGCACACACAGTTATGTACGGTGCACAGTATTTGACACTGATAATAGTACATGAATTCACTATAATATATTTTTAATTGTTATTTTAGAGTGTGTTCTTTCTACTTATGAAAAAGAAGTTAATAATAAAACAGGCAGGTCCTTCCAGAAGAATCCAGAAGGCATTTTGTCATAGGAGATGAGAGTTCCATCCATGCTATTATCTCTGAAGCTTTTCTAATGGGACAAGATGTTGAGGAGGAAGACAGTATATCTGGCCCTGTGTAGGCCTAGGGTGATGTGTGTGTTTGAGTCTTAGATTTAACAGTAGAAATAAATAAGACATCCCCAAGCTTTAAAAATAGGTAAGTGCTCATAAAGTAAGGATATGAAGAAAATATTTTTGTACAGCCTGCGATGTGTCTGTGTTTGAAGCTAATTGCTATCATGATAGAGTCAAAAAGTGAAAAAAAATTGAAATGTTTATAAGCTAAGAAAGTTATAGTAAGCTAAGGCCAATTTATTATTGAAGAAAGAAAAGTTTTAAAAATAAATTTAGAGGAGCCTAAGTGCACAGTGTTGCTACGGTCTATAGTGGTGTCTGATGATGTCGTAGGCCTTCACCTTCATTCACCGCCCACTCACTGCTCACCCAGAGCGTCTCCCAGTCCTGCAAGCTCCAATTACAGTAAGTGCCCTATACTGATGTGCCATTTTTTATTCTTTATGCCTTGTTTTTATGACACCTTTTCTATGTTTCAATATGTTTAGATACACAGATATTTATCACTGTGTTACAGTTACCTACGGTATTCAGTACCATAAAAGCTGTACAGGTGTATAGAGCAATAGCTACCATCTAGCTAGGTGTGCAGTATGCTGTATCATTCAGGTGTAAGCAAGTGCACAAGATGAAATCGCCCAACGCCACATTTCTTAGAGTGTATGCATATCATTAAGCTGCGTGTCACTGTACTCTAGATATTAATCCCTCATCAGATGTGAAGTTTGAATTTTTCCTCATTCTGTGCGTTACCTTTTCACTCCGTTGATAGTGTCCTCTATGCATGAAAGTTATTAATTTTGATGGACGCTAATTGCATCTGTATTTACTTTTGTTGCCTGTGCTTTTGGAGTCATATTGAAAACAAAAAATTGCCAAATCCAGTGTCATGAAGCTTTTCCTCTATGTTTTGTTCTAGGAGTTTTGCAGATTTTTGGCCTTTACGTTTAGGTATTGGATCCATTCTGAGTTCATTCTCGTCCTTGGTACACCGTATACAAGGTAAGGGTCCACCTTTATTCTTCTGCACTGGGACAGCCAGCTTTCCTTTCATCACTGGTTGAAAAGAAGCACTTGACTTTCACTGAGATCCTTCACAAAACGAGAGGAAAGATGTGGTATAAAAAGAGGAAAGGGCTCTGACACTCATCTCCAGGCCCACTCCTCTTCCTTCCCATCTACCCTTGGCGCCTTTTAACCAACAGGGCAAATGAAACCTGGGATAGTTAAATGACTCCAGGGAGCCTGCTCCAGGTACGGCAGCTAAAAAGGAACTATGTTTTAAAGTGGCTTTGGAGAGAGTGAAATCTCGTCCTTTCCTTTCATAGTTTACCTGGCGTGGGGGGAGATGTCTTTCAAGGAGGACAAGTTCACATCTGCAGGAGAGCGATTAACAGTTGGAAACTGTTTGCAGCATGACTATTATATTCATAATACAAACAACATCAAGTTAAATTCTTCTGTTTATAGCTTGTGGGGCTGCACAGATGGTAGAGTATGAGCATTGGATGGGTGAGAGCTAAAAACGCTGGGTCTAGTGGGTATTATCTCGTGGCAGCCATGTGTACACACCAGTCCCTGTTGAGAAAAGGCATTTCTAGATGATATGGCCAGTGAATTAACCATGAACGGAATTGCTCCAGGCATCAACACAACTGTCTTGGTTCTGATGTCTTTTGGTTTCTCCAGTTGCTACAGGTGCTTATATTTCTTTTTCTTTAAAAAAAATTTTTTTTTTGTTAAAGGAAGAGCAGAGAGAGGGAGGGTGGGGGTGGAGTCTTGGTGTGTGACACATCTTCTGGGGACAACAATTGTAAGAGGGACCTCACCTAACAAATGCAATCAGTGTAACCTGGGTTCTTGTACCCCCAACGAATCTCCAAAAATAAAAAAAAAAATTTGGGCGGGGTTAATATGAGGGTACATACGATTAGGTTGCATTATTTGCATTTGTAAGGTAAAGGTCAGGTCTGAGTTGTAGCTGAGTCCTTCACCCAGGACATGTGCCATATACCCCTACATTAGGGTAGGTAGAAACTAAGTGAGACCTCTCACCTCAAATTATGGGTTGGTGGGCACTTGGCTTGTTTTCACATCTTTGTGATTGTGAATTGAGCCGCTGTTTTCCAGTTATTATCTTCCTTTATTGTAAGTAAGGGAATTGGGGTAGAAAGATTCCCTTATTCTTATACAGGAAAGTTCAGATTGTACCTTTGTCAAACTTTGACAGGAGGATGATTGGGTTAACGAGACCACTGCTGCATTTTCTAGGGGATTTGAGAACACTTAGGCAAGCTCTGTGGAAATCCTCTCAGGCCAGGAGAACAGTGGTCTTGAGTTCCAGAAATTCTAGAGTGAGTAGAATCAAGAGGATTGACATGAGGATGTAAAGGAGTATGGGGCGGGGTGGGGGGGGGTTGGTTCTGAAAATTATACTATGATGGGGGTGGGGATGGGTTAGATGAGAGAATTCAGGACAGGAACAATTAAAACAGCAGAATCAGAACATTTTTTTCAGTTTTTGTTTCATTTTATTTTCAATCGACAAATAACGACTGCACATATGTTCGAGAATCAGTTAAAATTAGCGACTTGCTGAATCCCGTCCGGAAGGGCAGTTTCAAGGTGCAGTGGATGAGAACACGAGTTCCCCTACCCCCTGGCGGCACTAGGGAGCACCCGTTTTAAGACATCGTGGCCAATATTTACTTGGCAAGTATCTCGTGCTTTTTATTTGTGTTCCTTTGATTATTAATGAGGCTCAGAACTGCCTCATTTGTTTGCATCATTTATATTTCTTTTGTAAATGTTTGATGAGCTTTGTCAATTGATTTCTAAGAGTAATTCGTATATTAGGAAAGTAAGTTTTTAGTTTGTCACTTGTGTGGTGAAAATTTTCCCACGTTTGTCTTTTGAGTTTATTTATAGTGTTTTTTTAGCCTCTTAAAATGTTAAAATTTGATGTAGAGTTATCTGTTTTTTTTTTTTTTTTGCTTTACTGCGTCTAGGTTTTCTGTTGTGATTAGAAAGACTTTCCCTTTAAGATAATTAAATTATTCACCTACGTTTTTATCTTTTACATTTGCTACTATTTCATTCTTCTAAATGTCTAAAATCGTGGATTTATCCAGAACCGAGTTTGCACACACGACAGGGCAGGTTTACCTTTCTCTGGGAGACCACTGGGTCACACTGTCGTCCCCCTGGAGTCTGAGCTGCCGCAAGGCAGGCCCTGAGCTTTTGTGGTTTGCCAAAGTGATGCTGGTGCCTGGCCCGGAGCCTGGCACCTGGTGGGCACTCAGCAAGCTTTCCTTTAATTAGTACACAGATGAAATTCTAGACAATAGAGGGATGAGCCGAATTGACCGGGAAGAGAATTTCATTTCTGGAGTTATACTTTGAAAGGCATTTAAAAAAGAGTGAATCATTTCAGAAAATAAAAATGAAGATAGAGAGGGGGCCAGAAACCAAGTCAGCTGAGGGACAGGGGATGCTCGCTTGGGAGCAAACTCAGTGAGGGAATCTCCTTGTCCGGTATCGGGGAGGCGGATGCTTTGGCTTTCGGTTTAAGGAAGAACTTTAGAATGAATGGTTCAAAGAGAGGATGGGTTGTTTTTGGAGATGGTGAACTCTTTCCCTGGCAGTGCTCAGAGGTGTAGGGGATTTGGGGGGGACGACTGCGGAAGATTTCAAACACCAGCAGCTAACCAGCCATGTGATGGACTAAAGATAATGTCATGGGGAGGGGAGGGGAGTGGTGAAGAGGAGAGACCCCATTCCAGAGGAGCAGCAGCCTCCTTTCAAACTTGAAGCTTGAAAATGAATTTTAAAAATGGGAAGTTTCTTTGTTTTTACAAATTTGTGTGTCATCCTTGCTCAGGGGCCATGTTAATCTTCTCTGCATTGCAGAATGATCTGAAAAATCTCCGATTTTAGTATATGTGCTGTCGAAGTGAGCACAAGTTTCCTGATTCTTAAAATCCTGCAAAACTTATCTGATGTCTAGGTTTCTCTTGTGGCCAGTTTGCAAACCCTGCCTCAGATAAAAGGAGGCTCATGTATAGAAAGTAGCACAGTTACTGGAGTAGATGACCTCCCAAGGACTTTTCTAACCTTAGTTCTTTGATTTCCCCAGCCATAGAAATGTGAGGGATTATTAATAGTGCTGCTACATCACTGGAATATGACTCAGCATATGAGAAGAGCAGATATGATGGAGGAAGAATTAGGATTTGATGGGAGGAAGAATGTCTCTGGAATTGGTCTGCTCTGTACAACCTATTGTCATTTATGCCAATGAATATTGTTGGTAATCATAGAGTATGAGACTTCCCCCTGGAGTCTGAGCTGCCGGAAGGCAGGCCCTGAGTTTTTGCGGGGCCTGAGCAAGTTCTAAGAGGAAATAAAGAGCCAGGCAGCAGAAAGAGAGGAGGCTGAAGGAAGGAAAGTAATTTTGAACTGAAACTCCAGTGAGCACAAAAGGAAATGAAGACTTTAGGGACATTACTGTCAGCCCAGGGGCTGGTGATGCAGGGGGCTCAGCTGTGCCGCTCACTGATAAGGTGGGTGTTTTGGCCTAGCCATGACAATCAGTGCTATGGATTTTTTTGCGATGATTTTTTTCATCAATGCTGTGATGAAACTGAGAGAGTTGAAAAGGAACAGGAATTGTTACTGCTTCCCAATCCAACATCATTCTATTGCATCTTCATAACCATTAGTGGAGAGGGCTGAATGCACAGCCGAGGGGAGATGGCACCTGTGGCCTGAAAGAGAACTGGTTTTTGATCCATGTGCCAAGAACATACATAAGGGAAAAGATGCCCTCTTTGACAATTGGTATTGAGAAACCTGATATCCATATGCAATGGAACGAAACTGGACCCCTAACTCTTATTACATACAAAAAAATCAATTCAAAGTGGATGAAAGACTCAAACATAAGCCCCCAAATGATAAAACTACTAAAAGAAAAGATAGGGGAAATGCTTCAGGACATCGGTCTGGGAAAAGATTTTGTGGCTGAAACCTTGAAAACATAGCGAATGAAGACAAAAATAGACCAATGAGACCATATTAAACTAAAACGCTTCTGCACATCAAGAGAAACAATTAACAGGGTGAAGAGAAAACTGGCAGAATGGGAAAAAATATTTGCAAACTATTCATCCTACGGGGGACTCATACCCAGAATTTACAAGGAACTCAACTCGGCAGCAAAAATTAATAGCATTACAAACTGGACAAAGCCCCTGAGTAGACGTTTCTCCAAAGGAGAACGGCCAACAGGGATGTGAAAGGATGCTCAGCATCTTCAATCATCAGGGAGATGCAAATGAAAGCCGCAAGGAGAAATGAGCTCTGTTAGAATGGCTCTTGTCAAATACATGAAAGATGACAAATAGTGAACACGTGGAGAACAGGGAAGTATGTTCACCACGGGTAGGAATGTAAATTAGTCCGCCATTATGGAAAACAGTATGTCATTTTCTCAAATAAACTAAAAATAGAAGTACCATATGATCCAGCAATTCCACTACTGGTTACTGACCTGAAGGTAAGAAAATCTGTATATTAAGGGGATACCTGAACCCCCGTTCTTATGACAGCACGATTCAGAATAGCCAAGATATGGAATCAACCTACCTGTCCACCAACGGATGAGTGGATCAGGCAGAAGTGGTAGCTGTGCACAATGGAGTACTATTCAACCACAGAAAAGAATGAAATCTTGTCACGTGCAGTCACGTGGATGGAACTGGAAGTTATTATGTTAAGTGAAATAAGTCAGGCACAGAAAAACAAATATTGCATGTTCTTACTCCCATGAGGGAGCTAGGAAAGGTTTTTTCATGGAGATAGTAGAATGATCGTTACCAGAGGCTGGGAAGGGTGGGGAAGGGTAAAAGAGAGGTTAGTTAATGGTTACAAACATACAGTTAGATAGAAGAAATAAGTTCTGGTGTTTGACTGCACAGGAGGATTACTCTAGTAAACAGCGACTTAGTGTATTAATCCATTCATGAGTTGATTCCACATCTTGGTGATTATGAATTGAGCTGTGACAAATATTCTACTATAAGTGATCTTTTTCCTTCTGGGTAGATACCTAGTAATGAGACTGCAGGATCAAATGGAAGGTCTACCCAGCTCTCTGAGGATTCTCCATACTTCTTTCCAAAGATGCTGTAATCCCACCAGCAGTGTAAATATGTTCCCTCTTCTCCACATCCCTGCCAGTGTCTGGAGCTTTGGACTTGATGGTGTGGGCTATTCCCCTGGGGGTTAGGTGATACCTTGAGGCGGTTTTGATTTGCATTTCCCTGACAATTAGGGATGATTTTTCATGTGTTTGTTGGTCATTCTTCTGTCTTCTTTAGAGAGGGTTCTGTTCATATCTCTTGCCCACTTATAGGATTGTTTGCTCTATTTTTGTTGATTAGTTTGAGTTCTCTGTAGATTCTAGTTATCAGTCCTTTGTCAGATCTGAAGCATGCAGATATCTTCTCCCATTCTGAAGGTTGTCTGTTTGTTTTAGTTGTTGTGCCCTTGTGCAGAAGCTTTTCAGCTTGATCATGTCCCATTTATTTATTTCTGGTGTTGCTCTAAACTACAACTGGGATCTTACCTAACAAATACGAACACTCATGTAACCTACTCATTTGTGCCTTCATATTGATTTGACATAAAAAACAATTTATTGTATATTTCAAAACAGCTAGAAGAGAGTATTTGAAATGTTCCCACCACAAGAAAGTAATTGGCGTGCTCTCACTTAATGGGCACAATGTGAAGGTATACAGCACACCGCCAGGTTGAGGGGCACAAGTATCTAACAAATGCAAACATTGGAACCTAATCATTTGTACCACTCATATCATTTGTAATAATATGAAAAAAAAAGAAGTAATAAATGTTTGAGGGAATGGAAATCCTATCACATTTATCATACATTAATTGAAAAAAATTAAAAAGAAAAGAAAAAGGTCCAAGGTCTCACACATAGCCAGCAGCCAAGCTAAGACTGAACATTTGGGCTCGGTGCCTGTGGCTCAAGTGGCTAAGGCACCAGCCACGTACACCTAAGGTGGCGGGTTTGAATCCCCAGCCCGGGCCCGCCAAACAACAATGATGGCTGCAACCAAAAAATAGCCGGGCGTTGTGGCGGGCGCCTGTGGTCCCAGCTACTTGGGAGGCTGAGGCAGGAGACTCACTTGAGCCCAGGAGTTGGAGGTTGCTGTGAGCTGTGACGCCATTACACTCTACCCAGGGGGACAGCTTGAGGCTCTGTCTCAAACAAACAAACAAACAAAAAAAAGACTGAACATTTGTCTTTAGAGCTGCACGCTCGGCCTTTGTAAGCTTCCCCTGATGCTCCACTGGCCTCTTCTATCAGGATGAGCTGTTACGTGCTTACTTTTAATTGCTTATATGATGGTGATTTTAAGGTCCTGTCTTGTTCATGGTTCTCCAAAGAATTAATCAATAACATATTTATATCTACTTACCGTATTTACATCTACCTAGAAATTCATGGAAGTTTGCAGCCAAGTGTGGAATGTGCAGGGCAGGCCTGCAGTCTGCAAACCCCCCAAAGAGGTGATACTGTAGTTTTCAGTCTACAGTCAGTCTGGAGGCAGAATTCGTTCTTCATTGTGAAACCTTCAAATTACAGAAAGAGGCTCCCCCACATTATGGAGGGTGCTCTGCTTTACTGACAGTTAACTGATTTAAGTGTTAAGCACAGCCACACTTAGACTGGTGTTTGACTAAGTCACTGGGCACCATAGCCCAGCCATGCTGACACACAGAATGAACCATTACAGGTGCCTTGAAGATTGTGTGGCTCAGCAGTTACTCTTAGGAGGTCCTCACCCTCACAGAGCAAGCACAGTGCCTGAGAATGAGTACCAGCTTCAATCCTGTGTCTCACTTGCTTCACACTAGTCCTGGCTCTGTTCTCCAAGAGGGACTCAAGATTACATATTTAACCTGGGCCTTCTTACAACAGTATGGAACAGGGATCAGACAGATCTGTGTTTGAATCTTGCCTCCATCATTCCAGAGAGATCTTGGTCAAGTGGCACAATCACTCTGAACCTCAGTTTTCCTACCCGTGGAATGGGGATAATAACATCCCCTGCTTTTCAGGGATGTTGTGAGGGGATAGAATGTCAACTCAGACAGGAGAAGGGTGAAGATTGTGGTTCATTATGGAAAATTCTTTTCTTTATCTCAGCAGAGGAATTAATTTATTTAAGCATTTGTTACAATTTTAGCACGTGGAATAGCCAAGTCTTACCTTTCTCTAGTGCATTCCCTGATGCCAAGTCTTGATGTGGAGAGCCTAGAAATTCAAAAAAATAACAGGGAAAATTCTGTCCTCAATCCCAGTACAGAGGGAAGAGGACCACTACGCACAGACTTGTAGCATGAGATAGTGTGTGGCTGGCTGCGCCATCATGTGGGACAGCCCTTACGCTCATTAGACGTAATAGGGCAGTCGGCTGCTTCAAAACCATTTTGTTAGCAGTTAGTTCAAATCACAAGCTGATGTGTAGGTCGGTAATAAAATAGAAATTCTGTAATTCAGTCCTTTCTAGAATTCAGATTAGTCCTTTTAGTGAGCTTTTAGGATACTAAGAAAATAATGCATCTGGTGTCTCTGCTGTATTATAGGTATTTTTCTGATGGCTATGTGGCTTAAACAAGTATTTTCTTTTAGATAATAAACACATTATTCAGAAAACCAAACAACATGGCATTAGCAGGTTATTTTGGAGACGTGATTCCCTGAGATTTCTATTGTGTATGGATCTATATTCTCTTTCTCTCTTTCTGTGTCTGTTTCTCTTTGCCTCCTCTTTGCCTCTTTCTTTCTTTCTTTCTTTCTTTCTTTCTTTCTTTCTTTCTTTCTTTCTTTCTTTTTTCTT